TTCCAGAAGATAAATTTGGTTCTGGCGCCCTTATTTTAGATTTCCGTCCCCAAGTGTCCTATATCAAAATACTCCCCTAGGCACCCCCTATACGCTCCCAAACGGTGGCAGGTACTATAGGAATCACCCTGTATATGCCAGCATTATGGATGCATTTAAGACTTTATTCGTAAGTAACTTCCTATTCATCCATGGAAACAACTTTTCATATGCTTGATAATAGACTTTACTGGATTGAGATTTTACACCTACCAACGTTTGTTTAGATTTTACAACAAGCGATTTAATGGACGGTGTATTATCTTTTTCAACGGAAATCGTTTTATTCACAAAGACGACAATTTTTATAAGCAAACGTCAAGTGACATTTCCATGGCAATCGTGAAATTACGAACACCCAGCCCACTTAATTAGACATGTATTCGAGTATAACGTCAATATGACTTCATTGAATTTCCTATTTTTAAATTATACTGCAGGTATAATAAAAAATACTATAAGATACACGTGTATAATTGGTCTTTAAAACACTTGCAACGTTAAAGGCACTCCGCTTTGCGTCGTGCCCTTAAACTCGTTGCGCGTGCTTTAAAGACTTGATTATACACTTGTATCTTAATATACTATTTCGTAGCCACTTTTAAAACTTATTTGTCATAACTGATACACTTATAAAACATTTTTTTAGCTATTCGTGAGAGCAAGTATAAAACTGTTTTATTATTGTTTTCAATGAAATTAAATTGTTGCAGATATCTTATTTTGCTTGAGCGCAGCTGCTATAAAATTATTTTATACTTGAAAGGAAGATAGTAATAGGACATTTATAAAATAGTTATAGTGCTAATCTGTTCTATGACGCAAAATTGTGTTTTGTGACACTCTTATAAAACATTTTAGTTGGCGAGTATCGTGTATAGGGTACGGTGGGCTAAGAGTACGCGTCGGTTAAGAGTACGAATCAAAATTTAATAACCTATAATTAGTTTATATTACCGGCTAGTACAACCAATATTTGCTTTGTGATAACGTCTATCCCGGGTAAAAATATTAGTTTTATATTGTGAAAACGGTAGCTGCTGTGGTAAGTTTATTATTCCTTAGTGTTTTGATGTAATTTTTGTTACTTTTTATTTGAAAGAAATTGATATTTACAGTAAAATAACAGTTTCTTCCATTTCTTAGGTTATGTTGCTATTTCAATAGGTATACATGTTGTGGCCAATCATAGCGCGTTGATTAACGCGGGAGTTTCAAATAATTAAATTATTTTTGCATGCCATGTCGGCTAAGTGGGCGGCCATAACGAAGCACCGCACATCGCACCGCACTTAGCATTGTACCTTAGCATCCGTGTGCTAAGCAAATTTAACTATTGAATTCAATGCGTGCGGCCATACCGGCGCACCGCCCCTCGCTTCGCATCGCCCTTGTACATAGGTGCATCGCACAGTAAATTGAGCTTAGTATTTTTCGGAGCCTCGCACATGGTCGTTTGTTTTGTTTTAAAAATTATTAGCGGGATGGATAAGGATAAATTAATTACCAGTGTGTTTACCAGGGAGGCGATCTGGAGCAAAAATAGTAGAAATCATCATAATTCGATATTATTATCGAAGTTGTGGAAAGAGGTGGCTGAGGAATGCAATACAACAGGTAAATATAAGTTTATTTATTTATAAAAAGGATGGTACATATTAAGTTTTACGGATTATTACATAAATAAGCTTTAAAATTATCTCGTACTACTTTTGCTTCATTATTAAGTCTTCCTGCGGGTGCTTGTCTATTTTCGTTTTGAAAGACAAATTGAGTTTCTTTCAAATTATGTTCTATTCCTTCTTTATCAATAATTACATTATGTAAAATGCAAATTGCCTTAATAATGTTATCTGCATGTCCAGGATGGGTCAATATAGGTTTATCTAAAATTTGCCATTTTGATCTCAGAATTCCAAAGGCACATTCCACAGTTCGTCTCGCACGGGACAAACGTTTATTAAAATATTCCTTATCTGCATTTAATTCTTGTTTTCTATATGGTTTAAGTAAATGCTTCATTAGTGGGTATGCTTCGTCGGCTATTATTACATGTGGCATAATTAAATCGGAATTTGGAAAAGCTGTATCTCCAGGCAAATTAAGGGTTTGTGTGGTCAATTTTTTATATAAAGCAGAAGCTTGAAATGTACCACCATCGCTCTGTTTGCCATAACCGCCAACGTCAATATTGATAAACTTGTAGTTTGCATCAACAAGTGCTTGAAGTACAATGGAAAAGAAACCTTTATAATTAAAATACATTGATCCAGAATTATTTGGGCAATGCATACGGATGTGTTTACCGTCTAGCGCTCCAACACAGTTGGGAAAGTTCCAAATTTCGTAGAAGTCTATTGCTATTTTTCTAAAATCTTCTTGAGATGGAACAGGCATATGAATTTCATATAAAGAGATCCAAATGTGTTCTGAAATTTCCGAAACAATATTATTTGCTACTGTAGTTTTACCCATTCGAAATGAGAAAGCTAAGCTTCTAAATGAAATACCAGTGGAGAAATATCTGAAAGAAAAAAAAATATATATATGTACAGGGTGTTTTTATTTTATGTGATATAAAAGCTTGTCGTGAGAATATGTTTTTCTTTACAAGTAATTGTAAGTAGAAATGTATCTATTTTTACAAGATTTTTTATAAAAGAAATTTTAACAGAACAACTGAAGGTTAATACTAATAACATATTTTTTTTTCTCTTTTCAGTTACGCTTGCAAAATCACACTGGAAACGTCTCAGGGAAACTTTTAAAAAGAAACTGCTAGAAATGCCATCGAAGCGTTCAGGGGATGGAGTTGAAGACGATGACAGTGAACATTCGGATTGGCCATATTTTCAGTCACTCCTTTTTTTAAAAGATCAATGTTTACCTAGGCAATCTACAGGAAATTTTGATACAATTGAAACTGAGACTTTTGAAGAAACTGAGGTGGACCACGTAGCAAACAGCACAGACGAATTTACCAGCGAGGTAGAATCACAGCCTACCACACCCCATTCGGCACAAATTTCTCGCTCATCGACTCCACTTTCACCTTCGGCTACTGCATTACCCAAAAAGATGAAAACCCAAAAAGTAGGAAAAATAACTGATACAATCGGGGAAGGTTTATTAAAGGCAGAACAAGAAAAAATTGCTTACTTAAAAAAAAGGGAGGAAAATCGGTTCAAAAAGGAAATGGATGAAGACGAATCATTTTTTAACAGTTTACTTCCGTATGTAAGAGTATTCAACCCTAGGCAAAAAATAAAGTTTCGCATAGCAGTTATGAAATTACTGGAGGAAGAAATTCCTGGACCATCCAATAGGCCACATTCTTCGCAAAGTTTCACTCCTGTTCAGCATCATGTTTATGAAAATTCTCAACGGAGCATTCAGTTATTAAGCAATGAGGTTCCTCCTGGACCCTCATTTACGTCACATACTTTGCCACGATCTAATCCTGTTCGTCGTGTTCAGGAAAAGTCTCAACAGAAGATTCAGTTATTAAACATTGATGTTTCTTCTGTACCATCACCTACGACACCTACTTTATTGACACTGCAACCTCGGTATTTACATGAAAACTCTGAACAGAACATGCAGTTATCGAACAACGAAATTTCTGGACATACTTGGCATACCTCTACTTCTACTCAGTCCTATCATGATAGTTCCGAACGAAACATCATTCCCGATAATCATCACCAACGTGACATCTCGTCCCAGCAACCCTTTTCTACCAATAACGCAAATTGGGATCAATAGAAATACAAAGGTGGAAAGGAAAAATGTATAAATAATATGAAGTTAAATATAATGTTTAAAGTTTTTGCTAATAGCAATGTTATTACTAATAAAACATTTTATAAAACTTACCGCAGTGTTAGCATTAACCTTTCTTCAACTGCTATTGGTTGAGCGCATGACAGTTCTTCCAAGATAGGTTTACTTTATTCTCTATTTTACTTAATACATAATCAAATGTCTTAATATTCATTCGCATGTACTCGAAAAAACGTCGACCATCTTTTCTTAAATCCTTGTAAAGGTGATGGAATTCTCCAAAGTAACTTCGTTTTTTATTTAGAGGGTGTACTGACATCCTTGGTTTATTTTTAATTAAATACCACTTTGTTAAGTTAGAATCTAATAAAATATCATCCTCATCTGACGATGATGAGGCCATGTTTAAAAGTAAAAACAAATTACTACGGAAAACGTACTGTGCGCTGTGCGCCAACGTGGACACTTGTCGGCAATGCTCTGTGCGAGGCAGAGGCGATACTATGGTATAGGCTTAGTGCGGTGCGCTGTGCGGTGCGCCGTTGTGGCCGCACCCTTAGAGTCCGCACCAGTGCGCATCCAAAGAGTGCGCAGTTTGAGAATGCGTACTCTTGGACGACTAGTAATTTATACGTATTTCTTTCTAGTTTTAAATGGGTAAATACAAAAGGAAAAGTGAAAGAAAACTAGTTTTCACCGAAAATATTCTACAATCTATTAGAGAGAGGATTGCCAACGGAGAAAGTAAGCGGCATATCGCAGAGACCTTGGGAATACCGGAGTCAACTCTCCGAAAACGACTAAAATGTGGGACAGTTCCTAAATCCCTTGGCAGATTTACTGCAGTATTTAGCGCAGAACAGGAAAAAGAACTGGCTAACCACATCCGCAAATTAGATTCTATGTTTTATGGCATTTCACAAAAACAATTACAATTTGCTGCATATGTGTATGCTGAAAGAAAACAACTTCATCACCGTTTTAACAAAAGTAAAAAAATTGCAGGAAAAGACTGGATTATAGCCTTCAAGAAGCGTCACGGACTTACACTTAGGCAACCTGAAAAAACTAGTCTTGCCAGGGCGGCGGGTTTTAACAAAGTGCAAGTCGGGAGATTTTTTGACAATCTTAAAAGTTTAATTACAACCCATAAATTTGAACGAGCTCAAATTTATAACATGGATGAAACCGGGCTTCTCACGGTTCCGAATAAAATGCCCAAAGTACTAACTAGCAAAGGGAAGAAATCTGTTGGAAAAATTGTTTCCGCGGAAAGAGGTGGGTGAACTATTTCTTTTAAAGTCAATAATATTACCATTAAAAACTTTTTTTTATTGCAGGTACTTTAGTTACAGCTGTGTGCTGTGTCAGTGCAGCAGGTCATTATATACCTCCCGCATTAATCTTTCCAAGAAAAAGAGAGAAACAAGAACTGCTTGATGGCGCTCCTGCAGGATCGATATTGATGGTATCAGATTCCGGCTTTATTAATACCGATTTATTCCTAAAGTGGCTTAAGCACTTCAAATCATCTGCCAAAGCTTCACTAGAATCAAATCATGTTTTGCTAACTCTCGATAATCATAGTTCACATATAAGCTTGGAAGCAATTTTGTTCTGCAGAGAAAACGGGATACATCTACTGAGCCTTCCGCCGCATAGCAGCCATAAGCTGCAGCCTTTGGATGTTTGCTTTTTTCAGCCACTGAAAACTAGCTACAGTGTTGAAGTTGACAAATGGCATGTCAATCATCCAGGAAGACCCATTACGATTTACCAGGTGTCGTCATTATTTGGCGCTGCATATAATCGAATTGCCAACTTAGAAAAAGCACATAAAGCATTTTCATGTACTGGCATTTACCCCTTCAACCCTGAGGTATTTTCTGAAGAGGACTTCATGGGAGCAACAGTAACCGAACGTCCAATCAATGAGACCTTGAATGAAGTAGTGGATCCTAATGATGCAGTGTCACCTGCAGTTTCATCAGCAATATCACCAGATAAACAGATAAATATTATTGAAAATGTTTCCATATCATTTGAAGATTCAGAAATAAGAAATATGTTGCTTAGTGCAAAACCAAATTATCCTGTTGTTTTAGCATCTGCTAACAATCCGGATATTGCTATTTCCTGTCAAGAAAATACTGAACTTAATACAAATGGTGAAATATAACCTGACAGTGTAGTTCATGCAGAAGATGGAAACGAAAACAAAGGTGGTAATGATGAAAATAGTTGTAGAGCAATAGAGATTGAAAAAGCAGTTGAGGAAGATCAGATAGAAAAAATTATTCCAATCCCAAAATGCAATAGAGAAAAGAAAGCAAGTAAAGGAAAAAAATCAGAGATATTAACTAGCACACCATATAAAGAAGAGGTCGAAAACTGCAACGAAAAACGAGTTACCAGAAAGATTCCCAAAACAACAAAAAGGAAAATTTTGTGCGAAGAAACTGAAAATAAGAACAAGCCGAAAAACACAACGACTGCAAAGAATAATAAAGAAAACCCAAAAAGTAACTCATCAAAAAGCAAAAGTCAAAAAAAGAACAATGAGAATTCCACAAACAAAAACCAAGTTGAGGAAGATGCTGGAATTTGTCCAGGCTGTGGCGATACCTATTCTGACCCACCTGAATTAGATCTGATTCAGTGTACCCTTTGTTTAGAATGGTGGCACGAAGTTTGTACAGCGTATACAACTGGTGAATTTCAGTGCGATGTGTGTTTATAAGCATGCGTACTCTTAACAGGCTGGTGTGCGCACTCTTTGACCAACAAGTGGTCTAAGAGTGCGCATTTGCATCATTTTTTAAAATTATTTCTTGATAAGAATTTATAGATTTTAGTTGACTTTTCCTTTGTTTATTTGTAAGCCAAAACTGTAAATAATATTTTTACAAAATTTTTTTGACTTTTTATACCCTACTAATTAATTTATAATTATTTGAGCAAAAAATGCGCACTCTTACCCCCTGTTACCCTACGCCATTTTCATTTAGTTGCAAATGAAGTTTGTACACAAAGGAGTGGAGTGCAGTTATGTCACAGTTAAAAGGAATTAATAAATGGAAAAGTGTGAAAAGAAGTGGTGCTTTTCGAAGGAAAGTATATCAGTGTTATAAAAATATAATCAGTACCAAAGGTGAATACTCTAATTGTGTTTTACCTAATGACAGTGATATACGTGATTCAGATACTAGTGAAAGTGCAAACAATGCCATTGTAAATAATAGTACGCATCACTCAAATTATACGGGCAGTTAAAAGATGTCGACCTATTTGACAAACAAAATACATCAGCAGAGGAGATTGTTGATCATGACTGGCTAGGAGATTTAGAACCAGATGAAGAAATGTATTCTAACACGCTGGAATTGGAAAAAAATTCTCAATTTAGAAGCGCCATAAAATCTTGGGCAGTGTCTTTTAATGTGCCTCATATGACTCTCAGATCATTATTTAAAAACATCAACGATCGATTTCCAAACATGCTCCCTCAAGATCCAAGAACACTTTTGAAAACTCAACAAACGGTAGTTGTAGCAAAAGTTGGCGAAGGTAACTACTGGCATCACGGCTTTGAAATAAGTCTAAGTTCTAAGATGAAGTACGTGGTACGTCCCTAAATCAATTTCTTGTAATGTTAATATGGATGGCTTACCAATATTTAAAAGCAGTAGAAATGAGTGTTGGCCTATTCTTTTTAACATTCACGAATTTCCTGATTTAAAACCTATGGTAATTGGCATTTACTGTGGAAAAGGGAAACCATCGGATTTGGCGGCTTATCTTCAACCTTTTGTAGAAGAAGCAAAAGTTCTACTTGCTGAAGGAATCATTATTAATAATGTAACAATATCCCTGAAAGTGCGAAGCTTCATTTGTGACTCACCTGCAAGAGCTTTTATTAAAGGTATGTTTAGTATCGCGTTTTTTATTATATGGCATAGTATCATTTGTTTAGGTATTAACAACTTCAATGGTAAGCACGGGTGTCCTAAATGTACCACTGTAGGGGAATACTCCTATATATCTCACACGGTCTACTTCCCAAGAACAGGGTGTGAGAAACGTACAGACGCAGGCTTCCGAGCAAAAATATATGGAAGTCACCACAAGCAAGACACACCATTGACATCATTGCCCATAGATATGATAGAAACCTTCCCTGTTGGAGATTCTTTAAATTTGATCGACTTGGGCATTACGAAGAGATGTCTGTTGGGGTGGAGAATTGTAAAATGCCTTCAGAAATTCATAGATCTGTACGAGGTCTTGATGTTTTGTGCTACTGGAAAGGTACCGAATATCGCGCGTTTTTATATTATTTAGGAGTTGTTATATTAGTAGATATGCTACCCTCAGATGTATACGGTCATTTTCTAAAATTTTTTTGTGCAGTAACTATATGTTCATCAAATGTGTATTCCAAATTTTTTGATCTGGCTAACGTTCTACTGAGCTCATATGTGGAATATTTCCGTGATTTCTATGGTGAAGATTATATGAGTAGTAACGTTCATAATTTAACACATTTGGTGGATGAAGTTAAGAGATTTGGTGTTTTGTCAAGTTTCAATTCTTATCCTTATGAAAATCGACTATATCAAATCAAAAAACCTGCTAAGGAATGGTAACTTTCCTCTGGCTCAAGTAGCAAAAAGAATGAGTGAAATTATACAATGTGAAACGAGTTCGTTAGATTACAACGGCATAACGAACTTTCCAACTTTAAAGTGCAGAAATGGTGACGACTTTTTCCATAAAATAGAATTTACTCATTTCGTTTTAGTTGCGGATAAATGCAATAAATGGTTTTTAACTAAAGATAATCAGGTGGTTGCTATGAAATATGTAGTTTTAAATGAGGGAACACCATACATTGCTGGAAATGCGATTAAATCTTTGCGTAACGTTTTCGACATACCTATACTTCATATTTAAATATTTTTAAGAGCAACGAACATATGAATACTGAATTGGTAAGCTTATATTCAATAGCAAATATTAAATGTAAGTTAGTTGCTGTCGAATACAATAATGATATACAGGGTGACAATTTGAAAACTTACCACCCCCCATATCTTAGTAAATAAACGAGATATTTAAAAAAATCAAAATCCGTTTCGGTAATTCGGAGGGGGAATCACAATGACATAGTTGGCGACGCACCCCCTCACACCCCCTGCGCCCTAGCCACCCCAACTTTTAAATCTTAAATAGTGACTCCCCATGTGTGATACGTCATTGGAAAGCTCTGAAAAAATGCTTTCCAACCATACCAAATAGCATTACATTTAGGTTAGTAATTATCGTGCAAATCAAAAAATAAACATGGAAAATCGTATTTAACTTGAACTTCCAAAGCCGACTCGACAGCAACTCATTTTTGATCGCCAGTTATAATCTATTCTCAAACTCTTGTCGAACCTTTTCAAATGTTGGTTTTGCAATATTTCGACATTCTTGAATTATTCTCTGTCTTAGTTCGTCTATGTTCGCCGGTTGCGTTTTAAATACGACAGATTTCAAATGTATCATATTAGTTTATTTTTTGATTTGCACGATAATTACTAACCTAAATGTAATGCTATTTGGTATGGTTGGAAAGCATTTTTTCAGAGCTTTCCAACGACGTATCACAAATGGGGGGTCACTATTTAAGATTTAAAAGTTGGGGTGGCTGGGGCGCCGGGGGTTGGAGGGGGTGCGTCGCCAACTATGTCATTGTGATTCCCCCTCGGAATTACCGAAACGGATTTTGATTTTTTTAAATATCTCGTTTATTTACTAAGATATGGGGGGTGGTAAGTTTTCAAATTGTCACCCTGTATATTTTTTCCCTTTACTTCACACGCTATGTTAGTTAAATAAAATAACTAAAACTACATACGTACTTATAGAAAGCTACATTTTAATACTCTGTTATTATAACATTAACCTGCGCATTAAAACCATATGTTTATGTAACAACTTGATATCTTTTTGGTGATTATCCTTTGTTAACTTTTGTACCTATAGGTTTGCTTAGGCGTGGTCAAATTATATTTAACCCAAAAATTACATTTAAACCTACCAATGTAGGAGTATCTTAATATGCGTAATGTAGAGTACCAGTTTAAAAAATAAATACGATTCTAATTGAAGTTTATAATATTTGTCAATATCAAACACCGCAACACATTAAAGCTGTATGTTTCCAACAAAGAAACATATTTCAAGAGACATATGACTATGACTAACTCATAACAACTTAACAAAAAAATTAAAGTTTCATGTACACAAACCGCATTCTTAAAACTTATTCTTAAATCATAACAAAACAAACTATGTAATAGAACTTATAAAGAAGAAACGTTACAACTACCACTTTATACATCGTCACATTCATTATCCGCTTCATTATCACTCTCGTGTTGGTTGCTTTTACGAGGGTCGTTTGATATCTACCCTGTTTCGTAATGTTCAAATGATCAGAGCGCCATCTAGTGGCGCCAGTTTAAAGGTACATCTTTGTGAAGTACTTATGTAAAATATCAAGCATGTGGAATCATTTGTTTTGTTTTGGCAGTCGTTTGAATGACAGCGTTTCGACCTTTATTTAAAAATGAATAAAATTGGAATTCGGAGTGTGATATATTTCTTCTATTTGGAGACGATGTCGGCGAAGGAGATTCACGAAAGGACATCAGTTACGTTGGGTGATTCTACCCCTTCGTACGAAACAGTTCGCAAGTGGGTGAGCGAGTTCAAAATGGGCAGAACGAGCTTAGCCGACGCGCCGCGGCCTGGAGCTCCAATTTCCGCTGTTACTCCAGAAATCATCGTCAAACTCCACGATTTGGTAATGAGAGACCGGCGTATAAAGGTGCGTGAGTTAGCTGATAGTGTGGGCATTTCGACGGAGAGGGTGCATCATGTATTGCATCACGAATTTCACATGAAAAAGCTTTGTGCGCGATGGGTGCCGCGCTTGCTGACGCCGGATCAAAAACGTGTTCGGGCGCTCAAGTCCGAGGACGGTTTGAGCCTGTTGCGGAAGAATCGAGTGGACTTTATGCGTCGTTTTGTTACTATGGACGAAACCTGGATTCACCACTACACTCCCGAAACAAAGCAACAGTCAAAGCAGTGGCCTAAGAGAGGCGAACCGGCTCCGAAGAAGGCGAAGACGGTTGCGTCGGTCGGGAAGGTGATGGCGTCAGTTTTCTGGGATGCAAAGGGCATTCTGCTAGTCGATTACCTACGTAAAAAGACCTTTACGCGACAGTTAAAGAAAACATTGGTTTAGTTGGGGATTGTTATGCTCTATCCGACACGTTATAGAACATACATCTTCGTTAAAAGCTTTATAGGCGCTCTACCGTATTACCAAAAAAATAAATTTGTTATGTAGATGCCTTCGAAATACCATTTATATGACAACTACATTCTACTAACACTCAGCATATGCGATTGATATAATCCAGGACTGCAATCAGCCATCATTGAAAAATTTGTTTAGTAAATGACGACGGTATTGTTTTATCGCATTGGAAACTTCGAATGCACTCTTAAACGGATGTACCTTTTTGACAATTTAATCGTTTAATGTATATCTAAGACGTACGAAAACTATTAACTAATACGTCCCTGTTTATGTTGCATGTTTTAACATTTACAGAACAGCAGTTACAAAATAGTTTTATAAACGTTTATACGTATGCGCCTGTACGCATCGTACGTACAACAGTCGTTTAAAATGCACAATTGTTGTATAACTGTTGCAATAATGACAAAAAAGTCCTATAACAAGGAGGCCATTCTTCTAGACATGTTTCTCCGTTCTTTTGGAATCCATCTTGGATCTAAAATGTATTTTTATAAATAAACGCGGAAATATGTTTAAACTGGCATATTTAGGGATGTATTATAATTCAAAATATCTTATTGTGAAATATAGAACAAAATTAATAAAGAAAAACTCACTTTTTTGTTTATCGATTATTTTTCAAAAACTTCAAATATTCATTATTCATACGGCCCTTAAAAATTTCTTCGTATATAGTGCACAGTTTGCACAGAAAATTTTTTTTCGCAGTTAAAATTTGTTTGGTTTTTGGTTACAAACTGAGTTATAAATTTATTTTCATATCACAGGACAAAACTGCAATTATTAAATCTTATAAATTGCCACGAGCCATCAACATTTAGTTTCTATGTCTACCTTTATATAATTCCTAAAAAACTCTTTTGTGGGTAAAATATTTCCAAGAACAACAACAAACGAACAAATAACTCGTATTATTGTTGCTACACACAACAAAATAGTCACTTGACTGACTAATACAATCATTATAAAAGTGTTTTGTAGACGCTTCTTATGGTGGCACCATGTTAACGGTGTTTTATTGTTGTGTAAGTGCTTCTTATAAAACTAATTTATAAGTGTTGCATATTAGTTTTCTAAGAGTTCTATAAACGTTTATAAAACTATTTTGTAACTGCTGTAAGTCTCAACAAAACAAATTATAAGTTGCTCTCGTTTCATAAATAAAAGTGTAGTACCCCCTTTTCTACGCCACTGAACCACAACGTTTATAGAAAGAAAACCAACGCCACCATCCTGCGCCGGCGCTCTGTCGTTAAGTGTCATTCTTCTTTTTTGTGCTTACATTCCACACGTGTTTTCTTTTTATATTATTTTTTTTGCTTTGGAAGTTGCTGTGATGGGCAAACGACGGAGAAAAAGCCCTGTTAGTAGAATAGACGTGAAAAGGAGAAGATTGTTACGGAAATTGGATAAATTAGATCGCGCTTCGGGTTTACACAAAGAGAGCAGTTGCAGCAGCGATACAGCTGACACGAGATCCGAACGCGGAAGTACACCAATGGAGTCTAATAGCGATTATGGACACTTCGAGGACCTTATTCACGAGGATTCTATTGCTTTTTCTGAACAAGGTAAATTGCCTTAAATTGGCATTTTCTAGAGGAATATTCCTCTGTTTTTTAGTCAGTGATATCATTGACCTTGCGACTCTTACGATACTTTTATATAAAGGTACAGTCGCTGTAAGCTGTATTGGTAATATTACCAACTTGTTGCAATGGACATCTTTTCAACACATTTTTGTATATAGAAAAAGTAGAATTTTCTATTTTTGTTCTTTGATATCAAAGAACTGTATTTTCAGTTTTTTGGTGTGTGGCGAGTGCCATGTGCTTTTATAGATTGGCAAACTTTTCTAAAATTTGTTTTGTTTGTTTCGGTTTATAGATGAAAATCGAGATCCTAACGAGTCTGTGGAGGAGATTCCCTTATCCAGTGACATTTTGAAAATTATCGGTTGCGATGGAAGTACTAAGGAAACTGGATCGCAGATAATTAGAAAAGAATTAGTTTCTAGTTGGTCTGATGTTATTAAACGAAGACTAAGTGAAGAAGTTCGTGCAGATTGTGTGCTTCGCTATCCGCCTCCAAAAAATTGTTTGTTTTTGGAAGCTCCTAAGCTAAATTTAGAAGTAGTTGCAGCAGTTAATGATGTGGCTAAAAACCGAGATAATCGACTGATTATTTTTCAAAAGCAGTTGGGTTGCAGTATATCGGCGATTGGAAAAGCTTTATCTGCAATTTTAGAAAAAGAGGAAGAAAAGGACCTTCAGGTTGTGCAAGCACTGAGTGATGCTGGCAAGCTGTTAGTAGATTTGTTCTCTTCCTATTCTTCTACAAGAAAAGAACTTCTTTCTTTGGGTCTAAAAAAGGAGTTCCGAGAAACTTTAAATAGTGCCGAAGTGGATGGATGGCTATTTGGCGTTAATTTAGATGAGAGAGTAAAGGCTTCAAAAAATCTGGAGAGAGTTAGTCGTGACCTTAGACAGATTAAAGCTAAAGCACCGGTTACCAACAAGGAGACAAAAAACTTCACAAGTCGGTCTCATTACCATCGAGTTCGGTGGGACCGCCAACATTTAAATCAACGGACTCAACCCTTTCCAAAATCCCAGAGTCAATATCAAGAAGGAAGATTTCAACGGAGTCAACACACGTCTCAGAGAAGACCTCCCATGAAACGACCCTTCAAACACAATTGAACATTGTAAGTGGATCAGCTGGCAGGTTGGCTAATTTTTATAATATTTGGAGTATAGTTACAAATAACAAGATGGTATTGTCTTGGATTAAGGGAATATATATTCCTTTTACTCGTACTCCATCCCAATCTTTTGTAAAGAAAGAACCGAACTGGTCCCAGTCAGAATTTTTAAACATAAAAGATTCAATAGCCAATCTTTTAAATATGAGAGCTATTAGTCAGGTAGCTGACTGTCCTGGTCAGTTTGTTTCAAATATTTTTTTAGTACCAAAACCTGATGGTAGTTTTCGTTTAATATTAAATTTGAAAGAGCTTAATAAATTTGTTGCTTACCATCATTTTAAATTGGAAGATGTTAAAACCGCTAAGACTCTTATTGCTAAGAATTGTTATCTAGCAAAATTAGATTTGAAAGATGCATATTTTCTTTTGTCTATCGACAGGAGACACCGAAAATTTTTAAGATTTTTGTTTAATGGGAACTTATATGAGTTCAATTGTTTACCGTTTGGGTTAAGTTGTGCCCCATTTATTTTTACGAAGATTATGAAGCCGGTCATTTCTTTGCTTAGAAGAAGGGGTTTGTTTTCCATAGTTTATTTAGATGATTTCCTTTTATTAGGACAATCTTATAATGATTGTTTGTACAACATAACCCAGACGATTATTCTCTTGGAATCCTTAGGTTTTATTATAAACAGGAAAAAGAGTTGCCTTGTTCCAAGTCAAGTTTGTGAATTTCTGGGATTCACTTTTAATACAAAAGAGATGTCTATTGCTATTCCTGCTAAAAAAAAAAAAAGAGAGAAACTTTTTCAAAAAATAAAAGATTTCTCTCTACTGAAGGTTTGCAAGATCAGAGATTTTGCTGTGTTTTTAGGAAATTTAGTTTCTGTGAATCCAGCAATGAAATATGGTTGGCTTCACACTAGAAATTTTGAGAGAGTAAAATTTTTAGCATTAAGACTTCATGAAGACAATTATGATGCGAACATGCAAATACCTGTTACTCTAAAAGACGATTTTGAGTGGTGGTTAAGGAATATTTCAATTTCAAAAAATAGTCTAGAGAAATTAAATTTTCAGTTAGAAATATTCACAGATGCTTCAAAGACGGGATGGGGAGCATGTTGTAATGGGGTGAAAACACATGGGCATTGGTCCAGCTCAGAACAGTCTTTACACATAAATATTCTAGAATTGAAAGCTGCTTTTTTTGGTATAAAATGCTTTGCTAATAATATTAATAACACAAATATTATTTGTCGCATAGACAACACTACTGCTATAGCCTGTATTAATAAGATGGGCAGTGTGCAGTTTCCGCAGCTTAATTTTTGGGCTCAGGAGATATGGTTTTGGTGTGAGACTAGAAATATTGTAATCTTTGCAGCTTATATAAGATCCCGTGATAATGTAGAGGCGGATAGAGAATCCCGAAAAACCCTTTCAATAGAAACGGAATGGGAGTTGGCAAATTACGCATATGATAAAGTTTGCAATGCTTTTGGGTTTGCTACTGTAGATTTATTTGCCTCTAGGCTGAACAAAAAATGTAATAATTTTGTATCTTGGTTTAGAGATCCTGAAGCAAGTGAAGTAGATGCCTTTACTATAAGGTCTGATCTAAAATTCTATGCCTTTCCGCCTTTTTCGTTAATATTAAAGGTGTTGAATAAAATTAAGACTGATAAAGCAATAGGTATTGTAGTAGTTCCTGTTTGGACAACTCAACCTTGGTTTCCCTTGTTTACATCCTTGTTAGTCAAGAAACCATTAATATTTGAACCTAACATAAAACTTCTTTCTGTTAATAGGGAACCTCACCCCTTATGGAGAAGAATTTCCCTGGTGGCAGGTCTCTTATCCGGGAGGCGTTAAAAAGGAAAGAAGTTCCTTTAGCCGCAGTGGAAATTTGTTTATCTTCTATTTCTCTGAGTACATTAAGACAATATAATAGTGGTCTAAAACGTTGGTGGGATTTTTGTTCAAGACAGAAACTTGATGTTTTTATTAGTTCTCCCAAGGATGTTTTAGTTTTTCTTTCTTTAGAGTTTGATAAAGGGGCCTCTTTTCAGTGGCGTGCCGTCGGGGGGGGTTTTGGGGTTCAAACCTCCCCCAGATACAAAATCAACATTGCAAAATGTATGCGTTTCCTAATAAAACCGCCTCGATTGCAAGCGGTGCGAATACGGGAAATAAGCACAGCTGGCGCCTCCAGAAAGGACGAGTTCTATCCTATTAGATCATGCAAGGTCAACAGTCAACTAATGAGTCTGCGTGGGCGCCTATCAATCTTAGCTACCTAGTGGTGTAGGAGTACATATTCGTTGTTTTGTTCAGTCAGCTGTCAGTTCAGTGACTTGATTCCTCCTTGCTTGTTGCAATTTATTTATAAATACGTGAACGTCACGTCATACTGTTAGTCTGTTACTGAGTCATCTCATGAGTGAGGTAAGTACATTTCTAATCAAAATACGACAATGCGTAGTTTGCGTACATTTCCCGGTGCACCCATTTCCCTATACCTTAAACTTTTAAATGTAAGCCGATATCTTACAGGCATCGGCATGTTATTAAGTATCTATAGGTATACCCGATTTGCTTACTTTGTGATTTTTCGTTAAAACTGCATGCAGTATTTCAGGAATCCCGAATCTATGCTAATTTTTTGGCTTTTGTGAAACAACAAACCCCATTTTAAATTAAACAGTTGACTGGTCAGAACTAGTATTGTAAAATGTAAGGTCGTGATGTCATAAATCAGTCTTCCTAACATAAATAGAAATAGATAACTACCTAGAAAACGGGAATATAGGTTATCGATTGTTTAGCCAAATCCAAAAGGAGACTGGATTTTATTCTTTAAATTTTTGCCTTGTAAATGACTTTTATCCATGTAATACTGTAATCTTTAGAATAAAGGAGTATTTTTTAAGTAATACTACAGGCCTTTGTTTTGTCAGTAAAATACCAATTTAATCATGTACAGCCGTCGTAATCCCCCTCCAGAATTTTTTTCACGGCACGCCACTGCCTCTTTTGGCACGTTAAATTCGATTCGTGCAGCGTTAGGCCATGTTTTAATTTTTGATTTAGGCACTAATAACCTTATCAAAAGATTTTTTAAAGGGGTGATTAATGTTAGGCCCAATTTACCAAAGTATAGCCACATCTGGGATCCAGAGATAGTTTTAAAATTTCTTTCAAATTGGGATAATAGTTCCGTCACAATAGAATTATTGGGTAAAAAGCTAGCAGTTCTACTAGCTTTAGCTACAGGACACAGAGTGCAGACACTCTCCAACATATTGGTAGAAGATATCGTTTGTTTGGATGAAAAAATTGAAATAAAGATACCCAATAAAATCAAAACTACGGCAAAAAATCGTTATCAACCCACGTTGTTCATACCGTTTTTTAAAGAGAGGCCTACTATTTGTGTCGCTTCTGCTATAATCGTGTATCTTGATAAGACGAAGCATCTGAGGTCTAACTATGGTCAGAAATTGTTTTTAACCCACAAAAAACCTTTTCATGATGCTTCCTAGCCAGACGATAAGCAGGTGGATTAAGGATATACTAAGGTCTAGTGGTATCGATACAAATATCTTTTCTGCACACAGCACTCGTCATGCTTCGACATCAATTGCTGCTAAGAGAGGTGTTAGTATCGATACGATAAGAACAACCGCAAATTGGTCAGAAAAATCACAAACTTTTGCACGATTTTATCAAAGACCTATTAAAGTTTTAGAGAATTTTGCTGGGGCAGTACTAAACCCTAATTCAATATGAATAACTATTGTTGATATCAGGTTTAGTACTATTTTGGTACATATATATTATATACTTATATATATTTTTAAGTCTTTTAGTAATAGCATTGATTTATACTCATTATCTCTTACTAAGCTAATCGTCCAAAATGGAAATTGTATTATTTAGGTATTATTAAATGTTGTTGCATCTTTAAACATCTACACTTTTATTTATGAAACGAGAGCAACTTATAATTATTGGATCAAAGGAACTTACCTATGTGAAGTTCGATCCAAATTATTAGTTGCTCTCGTTGAAATAAATAAGTCCCACCCATCCCTAACCCTTTCAGCAACAACATTACCTTTAAAGGAATGACACTTAACGACAGAGCGCCGGCGCAGGATGGTGGCGTTGGTTTTCTTTCTATAAACGTTGTGGTTCAGTGGCGTAGAAAAGGGGGTACTACACTTTTATTTATTTCAACGAGAGCAACTAATAATTTGGATCGAACTTCACATAGGTAAGTTCCTTTGATCCAATAATTATTGGATTGAATGGTTTTATAACCTGCGCCCATTTCACACTTATAAGTGTTGTATAGACGTGATAAAAACGATTATAGCTACAGTGATGTTTTATAAAAGATGTTGTATAAACGTTCTCTCAACATCAATAAAACACAAAATTGTTAGTTGGGCTAATAATAGTTCATGATCACAAACTGCCTGTAAATGTAATAACAATGAATGGAACCCTTTTCTGTTGATATAGGATGTAGCATATTGCTTTGGTGCTTTTATTGGTATATGTGATCCATCAATACGGCGTATTGCTCCTACAAATAAGTTTCACAACCAGTTAGATAGTCTGCCAAAGGTTGAAGTGTTAATGGTCGCCGCCTTTTTCTCGAAAAGTGAGTTTTTCCATGCCACTCGTTTGAGTGGAGTCAAAGCCCAGAAGCAAATCTGTTATGGTTCATAGGAAGTATAACATCAAGTTTTGTGTGTATAGTGCAAGGTATAGTGTAGGTACCTAATAAAGTATGCACCTTACGGATTTCAACGAGAAAATTAGGGTGTTGGATATGTGGAAGTGAAAATAGAGAAAAATGTGTGCGCTCAGCGCTGTAAGGGCACAGGTATGCCCAGAACAGAGTTCGAAGTAAATCATATTCTGAATTACAATTACAATATTACATATCGATGGATTTTCGTCGATAACTGACTGAAAGTAAATCGACATTATGTACTTTAATTAATTAGAATCGTCTTCACAACAATACAAATGGAATGTCAAACTCGCGGTATCACGTCGAACATTTTTCGTATATTTCCTGTTGGGACGTTTATATACAATTTATTAGGTTCGCGATGACTTCTGCTATCACACTCAGGTACAAATGCAATAATTATTCGACGCTTTTTTCTGTCAAAACGACGTTTTCTTTCTCTGAATCGATTGTAAGCAATGCTACGGCTGAGCACCAACGCGCGTAGTGACGTCACAGCAACGTGGCGGTCATTCGAAACTTTTCAAACGGCGTTCATTTTAAAATCGTGTTTGCTAATGACAACGATTTCTCTTGACAAAAAAATGAGTACCACTAATTTTTTTAATGTGCTTGGAGTTCATTTTCAAGGTTTTTGAAAAAACGCGGAAAACCCAATAACGGTCATTTAAAAAAAAATTATAAATTACATTCAGAGCTGCCCATTGGGTCATTTGTGTGTTTATATAAAACCACCAATCCTCAAGCTATGATTTAAAGGCTAGTATTCTATTTTACTGCTCTAAATAAGTTGACAATGATTTTTTAAATCTGTAAAACGTCTAACAGTGTCAACTACCGGCTCACTTACCTTACTATTCCGCACCTTCACCAGCGGCATACAATAATAACGTAATAGTAGAACGTATTTCTCAAAATCCAA